GCTTTGAAGTTTCAGTAGCAGTAGTGCTAGTCTCACGCCTAACTCTCTCTCTCTATTTGACAGGATTACTACCTATCGACTGAATGACGTCTAGGAATGCGCCGGCCGATGATCGAACGCCGGATCACATGCCGTTGATGCTTTAATTTTGATTATTTCCCTGAAGACCACCACCAGTTTGCCAAACGAATTTACCTGAGACTTAAGAAAAGAAAATATAATTTTCACATATGATATACATATATAGGAGAGAAAGCATGTTTTGTAAGTCAATAAACACACACACACACACACACACACATTAAACACACTTACCTCAATCATATCTTTGATATGCTTATTGTATGATATGCAACCATTTGGCAGTGAGTAAATATATGCATTTTTAATAGGCATACGTAATTTTCTCTCATTCATCAATTCATCAATATCATCATTATTGGTATCATTGTTATTATTTTTGTTGTTTAAACCCATGGAATCCGTATCACCATCAGAATTTAAGAAACGACGAAAATTTACAGGATAAGGTACATTGACTTCAGAGTGAACACGTTTGCCATCTGAGGAATAATTTTTGTTCAGCCGGAGGGGAAACATGACAAAAAGAAAATAATGGTAAGTAATAACAATAATCCAAATGAAACACTACAACTATGCTTACATAAAGACCTTATCAACCTTTCCTTTGAACCAAGAGTAGTTGTGGCTCATCTATCATGGCATTCAACTCTCAACCACCAGTGGATGCCAGGGTTTAAATTCTACTCCACTCTCCAAGGTTTGGGCAGCCGGGTAATATCACTGGGTCATCACACACAATAGGTCTGGCTCTTATTCCCAACTGTATTGAATTGTAAGTGGTTATATTAGCGACCTTTTTAAGCCACTCGGTTACATAACAATTAATATCCGTCATAATGTCTAAACTCTTCTGCATATCCTGTTGTTTTAGTCATGTAATTATATCCATTGATCATTCACTACACGGACATTTTTAATTAGCTTTCAACAAAATACTGTACATTTCTTGAAGGAAATGAAGAAAAAACAGTAGATAATTGGACTTTTCTTACTATGGGACAACACTTCGTTGCATGATATACTGTAGACCACTATTATTATTCAAGAGTTTGTTTGGAGGGATTTGGTCTGTTTTAGGTCTAACCACGGATTGGTGTCAGTTAGAGAACAATTGAAAACCGTTAGGGAGTACTGGGAAGAACAGTTGGTTCCGTCCTATTTTGAGACTCATTGGCAGTATGTACTCACTAACGGGGTTCGAACCCAGAACCTCCCAGTTACAAAGCAAGTTCGTAGGTTATTGAGTCACTGGACACGACTCAGTGGCCAGCGCATGAATACTCTTACCAAGTGGTAAATGTATCGCTATAACCGCTAGCCAACTTCATCGGTGGCGAGTATTTGGTCCGACTCCCACGACCGTGTGAACTTCACCAGTCATGAATTCTCCAAGCAACTTAGTCCTACAGCCAGACAGTCACTAACAAGCATCACTGTTATCTTACTTGTAGATCCTGTACAAAGAGGAAATATTTTGCGCAACTAAATACACTGTGAATTTTTGTACTGTTAGCATATTTGAAATAAAGCTTTATTATCACTATTATTAACACACCAATTTCATTTTATTGCTGTCTTAATTTTTTATCAGCAAATAAAACCACCCGTTACCTTGGTTTAATCTCATCTTAGTGTCAAATCCTGAATTCATTAACACACACAAAACATGCTGTATTAACTGACCGTTCCCCTAAACTACTTTGAGATTATGTTGTACTCGAACAGCTGTGGACTGAATAAGTACAGTCTCTGGGCAATTCTATGGAAAGAATGGTACTCTTTTATTCTAAAACTCCATACTGTGCAGATAGATTTGGACTAGACCTAAATCAGTTACCAGTAGGCGATTGGTTCACATGCATTATTCCATTCTACAGAGGATCAGTTATAATTCGAATGGTTAATCTCTGTAGATGTTGACTCTGGTAATGAATGTTCCAAGCTGAATGTTTGTAAGGGGTAACGGATATACCTTGTAGATGAATGTTGATAGATACGAAAGATACATCCAGAGTTGTTTACGAAATCAACACATGTTACATCTCCTATCCTTTTTGTTACTTTATATATTTCTGTTGCCTACTTTGCTGTTAGTGGGAGTGTGGCCCATTGACTTAAGTACTGAACTTATGGCCAGGGTTCAAACCTCGTTCGACGTGCTTCGGTTTAGGTAACTGGGTAGTATCACCAGTATACACACATACAATACGTGTGGCTTACACAGCCTGGTACATGAGAATTCTTTTCCAGATAACTGAGTTTTGATAACGAATTTGCTAGTGATCATTTCCAATAATAAGTCTGTCAACTTGAACAGAGACTCGATGTGCTAAACTACACATTTCAGTTGATTAATCAAAAACTACAAAGACAGTTTTCATCTGCGAAATTCCACCACATTTTTTCTAAAGTTTTATACTGTGAACAGATTTCTATTGGGTGCCGTTTTCCACCCACCGAAAGCACGTGACGCCAATTAGCTGTCATCAAAAATGTATTTCTCAAAGCCCGAAACAAAAACTTCTTTTTACACTAGACTTACCGACAATAAACAAATCAGAAGCCAATATTTCTTCCATTTCAAATACACGTTTTGGAAAAACCTTACGTACTAGTTCTTCACCATCAATTTTAGTTTTCTCTTTGTAATCATTGAGTCTACTTTCCTCACTATTCATTTTTTAATATATTTGTTGAAATATATAACTAAAATAGAAAAAAACGTTATGTTGAGAAAAAAGCAATTGTAATCAATGAACTTTTGAAACAGACAAGATAAAGTGAAATGTTTAATTGTTTCGTACATACACTGGTCAGCCTAAATGCCAACATCCTAAAGAATGTAGCTACACGACTGAACTCATTAATGAGTACTTTCAATAAGAAAGAATGTCTACCTGGCAGAATTCCAATGTAGAACTATGCATAGAAGTACAACACTAGATTGCAACATTCAAATATGGCACATAAAGATAAACAGAAAAATTCGGAAGAAATATAATGGGGAGAAATGTGCGGAAGAATTGTAGTATGGGAAAACTTGGGGATTAATTGGATCTGGGAGATTACAAATAATGAATGCATCTGCACCATTGAAAACCATTTTGAGCCAAAATACGAACAATCTCAACAAACCATTTAGTTGTTAGTGAAGGAGTTACCCAATGCTACATCTCTCCCGTTGATGGTGGTGGTCGTTGTTGCTATTGCTTCGTTGTCTTCATCACCTGTGTGTTTTCTTTGTTCACCTGAAGTCGTGTTTTTGCTGCCTGCCAGTTTGTTGCTTTTCCGCTGTAAGTCTTCCCCATTTTGTGTGACATTAGGCATAAATCGTCCACACGCGAAATCCAGATCTCCTAGAGTCTTCTCGACGATTAGTCCAACGTATTCCTGTCTTCTCACCCTCCAAGTCGTATTCTGATGCATAATCCAGTCCACCACAATTAAGAGTATCATAATAGACAGCCTTGTCTTAACCCTTCGTTCACTTCGAACACCTCGCCGTGTTTCCCGTCGTGGGTTACCCGGCACTGTCATATAGGCAGCTGTTGAATGAGGTTTATAAAGACTTGGGCACTGCACGCCGTAGTGTTGAAGTAGTTTCCACATTACTTCTTGGTCAACCCTGTTGAAGGCTTTTCCGAAGTTGATGAAGGCAGATGGGGGGTTAACTATCACTCTACGCTTTGTTCTGTGATGACGATGCGCAGAGTTGCGATTTGACCAGCACATAATTTACCGTTCCTTGATCCAGCTTGTTCCCGCGAGCTAGCGACGTTCTGTATCCAGTGCATCCTTTACTCTCTCCAGGATGATGCAACCTAGTATTTTATTTGGCGTGGACAAGAGCATTATTCCACGCCAGTTCTTGCACAGGCCTAATTCACCCTTTTTTGGTAGCCTGAAAAGGTAGCCAGCTTTTCTTCCAATGAGTAGGTACCTTCCCTTCCTTCCAAACATCTTGCAATAATGGTGTGAGCACATAAGTCACTGGCTCTGGGTGCGTTTTTAGTCCTTCAGGATGATGGAATTCCGCCTTTGCTTTTATTAGTTTGGCAGTATTCAGAATTTATGCTTTCAGTGAAGGACTGGTGTCCACTGGCAGGCAGTTCCGTGCGTGCTGTTGGTGTATTTCTGAGAGTTACAGGTGGCAACATCCGATAGCTCTGTTGTCTGCCTATCTTGATAATATCTTATGTTTTCAACGCTTAGCAAATAGACCAGTGACGTCGTTTCGAACTTATATTACCTATGGTCCTTTAGTATAACTCGTCAATACGACGAGATGCTGAGACCCTTCTGGGACCTAAATATCTTGGCATTAAACTGTAAGAAGTTAAAGTATCTACGAAGTGGTAAAATAACCCTATTGTTGACCTTTTAGTAGGTACTCCGTGCTTTGTATGATTTCCTTGATTGGAATAACTGTATAGCTGTCTGAACAAACAAATATACCGATGGGTGTATCACAAGCCTACTAAAACCAGGAAACATTGCTTTTCCAGTGGTGAGTCGACCACGAAATGATGTTTAAATGACGCAGTCCTTTTAGCATTGGAGTACTTATCCCGAAGTAATACTATTTAACTAGCATAGATATCACGCGTGCACTACACAACAGCAAACGCTGCCGTTTTTCACTCGTTACTAAACCTGTCAAACTAGGGGACGCCATGCTGTTACATATTGCTCGGTTTATAGATTTTTGCCTGTGTAACCCTTGACAGCAGTGAAAACACATTTGCAATACATAAGCAGAATTATTCTTACCAACGTGCCCCGAATATTTGAACAAAATGTGATGACGATTAGCTAGCCAGTGACACTAATATCCATACTTTATTGCATAAGAGAAGTTAAGAGCAAAAGTAGTCGCTCTTACTGGAAACCCCGACAACCCTAACACTATAACCCACCACGTGTAGCGCAGTTGATAATTATGCCGCGTTGGTGAGTAAACGTACATGTAGAAAATCAAAACAATTGATTCAGCGAACAGTCTATTATCAACGAATATGTCACTAATCTGTAAAGTTGTCGATGTGATCTAAAAATAATAATAAATATATATAATTTGTCAGGATGATTCTGATTTAAATTGTATCCTACAGGAGTTTAATTAACTCCATCCTTCAATTAAATTCACGATGGAAGTTGAAAATGAATCAAAGGCTGCATTCACGGACGTGGAATTGACAAGAAGAGATGACGGAAAAGATCTATCTATAGAAAGCCAACACGGAATGGCCAACTGACAAACTTCTGCAGTTGGATACCTATCAGTCGGAAAAGAGCTGTCATCATCTCGCTAGCCCACTGTACCAGAAGAATTTGTAGCGAAGACTGCTTAGAAGAAGAGCTCCTATTTCTCAAAAGCAATCTGGTTCATGACGGATACCCACCGAGTTTCGTGGAGAAGAACATGAAACCAAAGCCAAAAAGAGAAGAATAAACTTCAATGCCAAAGAAAAGACTTTGCTTGAATCGGGAATTCAGGCGAGATCTAGCAGCAGATATCCTTATAGGAAGAATCTCCAATTCCTTAAAGAAGACTTTTCCGGCAGCAACTCTAAGAGTGATATTCTCTAGCCTTCTACTACTTCGGAACAACATGAACGACAGACTTCCGCATATGACCACTTCACTGTGCATATATCAGTTCACCCGCTCTTGCGGAGCTAGGTACATAGGTCGTTCTATACGGATTTAATCGGAACGTGTTAGAGAACATCATCCAGCATGGCTGCAAAGAGGAGGCACTGGTTTAATCAGAAGCACAATAACTTAACACCTCGTCAATACCTGTTACAGAATCTCAACTGACCCATCATTCAGAGTCATTTACAAAGTTAAAAAATCTACCAAAGGCAGTGTGTTTCGCCATATGCATAGAAAAGCCAGAACTTTTCAAAACAAACTAGTCCAGCCTTTACAACTACCATAGACCTTGTTCGGCGTGTTCCCTTATCCTTCAGTTTATTCGTTTTGTTCGCTGAGTGTATTTTCCTCTCTTTGTCTTCATTTAATTCATCCCATTTTTTCAGTTATAAAATCAGTTGAATAAAATATAATTATATTTCAGTAGTTTACACACAATGATAAGTTTTGCTATTGGTAATTTTTCGAGCAAAATTACTGCCCGTGTTCACACCCCTGACATTAATAAAATCATTTATATTGAGTTTGCTTCCATGCTCCTCCTGGTCACATTTGTATTCCGTTTAGAATAACTATTTTACAATTATATTCTAATCCTGTGTAATTTTTGTTTTTATGCCTCTTGTAATCTATATTAACACCTCCTAACTCTTATTTCAAGTTGAAAATTTTGACTTCACTTTGTTTCCATGCTCATTTTGTTCACACCTGTAATTCGTTCTATCCATGCGTAACTTTTGTTTCTAAGCCTCTTTCAATTCATATCAAGTTGAAAATAATTGTTACCTTCTGTTCGCCTTTAAAATTATTTCTCCACTCATCAAATATTAATTTTGGAAACGTTGTTACTGTTTTCGAATCCTACGTAACATTGCCTCTGCTAATCGCGACAGAGAGATAGACTATATGATAGACAGTTAATCAATATGATGTGACCTTCTTGTCGCGATTATTGGTCAATTTATTGTAACTCTCACCACGTGATGTGACCTTGAATGTTCTGTTTTGTTTGTCACTCTATTTGTGTATACATGTAATTAATTGACTGTTCATTTTGTCCGTACCCTCAATACTGTTCGGTAAGCTTTTGTCCTTTTTTGTAATTACAGTGGATTTGTACATTTTTCTTGGTGTAATTGTATGATTTATTTTATGTTTTAGAAACAGATAAAGTTAAAGTCAAGTCATTCTGTTTTAACTATAGTTAAGCCCAGACTCTGTGTCGTCAGTATTGAGGAAGGACTAAATCTGTAGGACAAAAATAATCCTACAAAGTTTTGAACAGTATGGCAGACTAAAGTTATGAAACTATGCCGTCGTTAACTCCACAGTTAGAAAAGAATAATGAAGCTGATTTCCTTGGAAACAACGAGAATAAATCACGCTATATGGTGGAATTGGAGGTAGCGAAATTGCGCATAGTCCAAAAAGAGAAAGAAATGGAATTAGGAAGATTACGACAAGGTAGTCGCGAATGTTCTTGTCACAATAAATCGCCTTACAAACCTTCTACTTCTCATAAAGTCGCTGTATCTCTTAATGATGAGTTCGCCAGAGGCATATCTAGGTTTATGGACATGTTTAAAAGATATCAATATTTTAAGAGGAATGCCGATGAACTTGAGTGTTGGATCAATGAAAAGCTGCAAACCTATGCAAACGAGGATTTTAAAGAACTCAGTAATCTTCAGCTGAAGAAACAGAAACATCAAGAGTTTGAGTTCGAAGTAACAGTTCATGCTGAAACACTGTCAGCTCTGGATTCTGCGGGAGTAGAAATGATTGGTCAGGGACACTACGCAACAGATATTATCAAAAACCGTCTTGATGAATTGCATGCCCTGTGGGAAAGGCTTATGGCTATTTTCAGAGAAAAATCACGTCTTATTAACCTAACGCTTAAATTTGTCCAGTTTTCACGCCAAGTCGACGAGATACTTTTCTGGATACGTGAAAAAGAAACTTACGTAACGTCGGAGGATTTAGGTCAAGACTTGGAAGATGTTGAGACACTTCAAAAAGGGTTTAATGAGTTTACAAAAGATCTCGAGAATCAAGAAAGTCGTGCAGAAGACATCTATCGGAAGGCAGATGAACTTTTAAAAGAGGAATTTCCTGAGGATGCCCTAGTCATAGAGAAGTCCAGAAAGGTCCGCGAAGCTCTAGAACGTCTGAAGGATCTGGCTAGAAAACGACAAGAAAAGTTCCTGGAAGCCCATGAGATACAGCGCTTCTTTAGAGACACAGATAGAGCTATATCGTGGGTGAATGAAAGGTCCATTCCTTTATCCATTGAGGACTGTGGTCGTGATCTTGCCTCAGCCCAAGCCTTACAAAGGAAGCACTAAGCATTAGAAAGGGATTTGACTGCCTCAGATGAAAAGATTGTTCAACATGGAGATGATGCTAAGGCGCTTGCACAGAAGCATCCTGATTCGTTAGACACTATACAAGGCAAGTATGACGCCCTAATCACTGCATGGGATAAGCTGAAAAGTCAGGTTGTAGTTAGGAGAGGTAAACTGGAAGAGTCATTCAAGATGCATCGCTTTTTGGCTGACTGGAGAGACTTGAGCATCTGGATGAATGACATGAAGACGTTAATATCGGCGGATGATTTGGCAAAGGATGTACCTGGTGTTGAAGCCCAAGTAGAACGACATAAGGAATACACCGCTGAGATAAATTCTCGGGCTGACAGTTTCGATGCATGCATTCAACAAGGTCAGGCATTACTAAGTGTTGGCCATCCCTGTAGTGAAGACATAGTTGCTAAACTTTCCACCCTTGAAAGAGAGAGAGAGCCTCCCTGATGCAGTTGTGTGAGGAAAGACGTGAACAGCTAGAACAGTGTATGGGCCTTCACTATTTTTACCGCGATGCTAAACAATCAGAATCTTGGATTGGTAAGCAAGAGGCCCTCTTAGAAATAAATGATGTGGGAGACTCACTCGATTCTGTCGAAGCACTCATAAGGAAACATGAAGACTTCGAAAAGTCGCTTCTAGCACAAGAAGAAAAGATGCGACAACTTGATGAATTCGCTGCGAAATTAATCGAATCAAACCACTATGCGGCTGCACAGGTTCATGAGATTCAGGAAGGTCTTCAAAATAGACGAAATGCATTAAAGAAGAAAGCTCAGAACCGCCGTCAGCGTCTTGAAGATTCCCACCGTTACCAGATGTTTGATAGAGATGCAGATGAAATGCAGTCATGGATATCGGGAAAACTTAGAAATGCACTTGATGAAAGTTACAAAGACTCCACGAATTTGCAAACAAAGATGCAGAAGCACCAGAATTTCGAGGCAGAAATACAAGCGAACCAATCCCGTGTCGAAGATATTAAAAAGACAGGTCAGGATTTGTTAAATGCAAACCACTGCAACTCACCAGAAATAAAAGTAAAGATTGAACAATTGGATGAAACTTGGTCTCATCTCGTAAATGTCATGGGAGACAAGAAGAAAAATTTAGATCAAGCAAGTAGGCAACAACAGTTCGCTCACAATATAGAAGATGTCGAGTTATGGTTGAATGATGTTGAGGCTCAGATAGCCTCAGAGGATGTCGGTCGTGATCTAAACGGTGTGATGAACGCACAAAAGCGGCACAACTTGCTTGAATCTGATGTGGCTACTCATCGTGAACGTGTAGATACATTAAAAGTCCAGGCTGACACGTTTGCTGCAGAAAGTCGTTTCGACGCTCCTATTATCCAAGAAAAACAAAGACAGTTAGCCCAACGTTACCATGACCTACAAATCCCTCTAAGTCAACGTCGTGAGAAATTAAGAGATTCCCTTCCCTCGGACACATCTTTGCAGCTTGAATATGGTGACTATAGTGAGCTGATGAAGTTACTAGTCGATTGTTGTAAAGAATTTAAAGCACATTCGCTTAACCAAATTGAATAAGAAATGTGGCATCAGTATGCTGAAAGCTTCACTACTGGCTCAGTAGCCACTCACAAAGATGCCTTCAGGTTATGGATTAAAGATAAGAACCCTGTTGTTGAAAAGTATATTGGGTTTATAGAGTCATACCGTGATCCCTTTGGAGTTCGTGCAAAGTTTGAATCATTTGTCGCTGTTGTAAATAGATCGGTGTCTAAAAAATTCCAACGACTTGTGAATAATGCTGAAAGGTTGTTAACAAATTTACCATGGCCTTCTACATTTGAAAAAGTTAATTTCTTACAGCCAGACCTTACTAGTTTGGATGTAGCGACGTCTGAAACTGCTGGAATTCCTGTTGGAACTAATATTCCTAACTATGATGACGTACGACAAGTTGAT